CTGTTTTAGTAAGATAGTTGGCATAATAGCTGTATGAATCAAATTTACGTGTTGGCACTAACCCTCCTTTAAAATAGGCTGAACAGTTTCAAATGTCTGTCATAAATTATAAATTAGACGAGAAATTCTCATCTGATTCAACCTGAGGTAGCTGAATGGAATTCCTGTTTTTCCTATCATTATATCGTCAAGCTATGCATCTTTCCCTTCTGAATATAGCCTGTGTATTCTCGCTTCATAGCTTCAGGTTTGACCGCTGGGTTGACTGTTGACTCAACATTTCCACGACCACCGATATTTGAAGGGGCGGTATAGGCTACTCTTATTTTGCCTACAAATTATATGGGCTATCAAAGTTTGCAGAAATATAACTTTTTACTTGTTTTCGATTTTATCTCATATTTGTTCAAATGGACATTTGTGCCATTAATTTTAAAAAAGGTTGTATTTTCAATTTAGTAGTACTGCTTTTATTCTTTGGTGCGCTGATTGCTGCGTGGGATTTTTAAGACTTTGTGAATTATTGTTTTTCTTTTATACCGACGGCCAGCTATAGTTTTAGCAGCCACTTATTGGAAAAACACAACTGTGACGTCAAAGGAACAGATCCTATTATACTTCTTGGCTGTAAGGTTTTTTAAAAAATAAAAATTGATAAAAATTGGCTGCTTTAAGGCTTAAAGCTTGAACAATCTGAGTTGAGCCTTCTTTTAAAAGCAATGCGTTTGCCTTTGATCGTAGTTTAAGCATGTCAGATACCAGCATAATCATGCAGATAAATAGATTAGAGAAAAAAGCATCACCTGTCACCATTAGCGCTCAGTGACATGGAGGTCGGAGGTTAAAGGGGGCGTTTCCCAGGCACAAAATGATAAAAACATAATTTATAAAGTAGAAAAACTCCAAAAATTGGAGGAAAGGTGTTAAAGCTCCCCAAATTACTTTGAGATGTGATTGAGCAAATTAAATGCATGCCCGGTAAGTCATTCAATTTGAATTTTTGTTGTCAAACATAGATCCTTTACTTCGAATTCATGCTCTTGATTGTTAGAGAGTCTCTCTATTATTTTGCTTGTGTTCTGATGACCATCATCGACATAGAGTGAAATTCGATGTTCTTTGACATTGTTCTCGTGTGATGTAGACAAGATTTCGTAACCTCGCAGTCAATTTGAGTGTTCATCTCAGTGACGTCAGAAAGACGACAACACGCCTCAAGAATCATCTCTCATTGTTGAAAGTCTGATGTGAATACATACACGCCAACAAGATACATTATCTTGTCCATTGGTGTACAGAAAGGCATGAATTAAGTCGCAGATGTCTTGGTCGGTGTTTTCATTACAGCGCGTGTGAAAACCATTGGGGACTGATCAAGGCGCGTTAGCATCATCGCGTTGCGTCACGCCTCAGTACAATTTCATACCTTACTCTCACCGTACAGGTTACTGCTTAAACCCAAGGGACACTCACAACCGGAACTGTTCCCAACGTCATTTTGATTCTGCGAATCATGAGAGCACTAACATCCAAGATTTTGAGGTTTTGAGTGTGGATGTTCGCAGAAAATGTTTGTCAATATCCTCCTTGTACAAAAAGTAGAATATACAAAAGCCGATTGGAAAGATGAACGTGATTTCCGTTGCTTGTAATATTTATGTTCTGAATTGTCAAGGGAAAAACTGACTAATTTTGTTTTAGGTCACAAACTATACAGTTAGACAAAGAGACATTCTTGTCCTGAACCTTGAAAAGAGGTGAAAGAATTTTAAAATGAGTTAAGGCTGGCTTTAGACTTTTACACCATTTCCTTCTTTTTTTGTAGTGCCCGTGACAGTGACATTGTAAAGTCAAGTTGAACCGGTTTTTTTTGTTTTGTTTCTGATCTGTAGTTGTCAACATCATCTTGTTACATGCCCACCCAACCGTGGTTTCTAGCTTCTTATCAAGTATTCCTACAGCCTAGTGAACTTGTAATTGTGTGGCTATATTTAATCGTGTAACGCACAAGAGGTTAAAATGAAGTAACGTACCACGAAAGGGCAAGTGGGAAGGTTGGTTAATCGAGGTTATCTCGCTTGACTGTCCATTTATATGTATGTGGTTTTTCACACTTTGAGCATTCACGCTTCACTGACCCGTGACTGGTCAGATGCGTGTTCAGTGTCCACTTAATATGTTTGATGACAATTTGACCAGTTCTTAAAACCTTCAACTCTTGAACTTGTCCACTTTAATAGGATTTGACAATTTCGAATTGGTTAAATAAATTAACATTATCTGCAAATCATTTGTTTTATCACATGATCGACACACCTTGCACGAAGTCATCCCAACACAATTAAGAACAATGCCTAAAAGCATTTAGCCATTTCAAGTCAATGCCATTAAGTTAACATTTCATACTCTGGGTTTAAAGGACAAGTTTTCTCGAATAATACCCGTGTATTAAATTGTCTGTTGACTAGTTCGTCATTGTCCGAAACTTGGAACATCTTTGGTGATAATTGGATTCTTATAATACTAAGGAGGAAAACGCAAATTCTTTGTAAGACAATACAACTAACCCACCTTTAAAAATATGCATTAGAGTGATCTGATATTTGAGTCAGGTAACAAGTTTCTGTGTACACCATCTGTTCACCAGATGACGGGGACATTATACCGTTGTTTACTTAGTTGATTTGTATGAATTATGCGAAACTAATCCTTAATTTTATAAACTGAACACTGCATACTACAATGCAGTGTTCAGTTTCAATTATTATTATAAGTTGACGGTCGGGAATATTGAATCAGCCAGTGTTGATTTCTCTTGAAAATCGATTCTTGTTTTTTGTGCTAAAATGCATTACATGCAGGGATCTGTTATGTCGGGTATTTATGGCCGAGTGATCTTATAAATTGTTTACGATTTAATTGTAAAGGACTTTAAACAGGTGTGCCTGTAAGACGGGTATTGATTGTACGTTTGATGTGCTAATCAGGTTGATTTTCAGGTTTAGTCAGAAATGTGTTTTTCATAATGCCGGAATTTTTTTAGTTCGTGAAACCAGTTTTGATTCACGTAATTTTCATGCAAGCTATATTCGTAAAAGGTGTAGAATTGCTAAACATGTAGAAATCAACTCTTTGAAACATCACTCTTTTTTTCATTTGTTCCACGAAATCAAAAAGTGTGATTCAACCATGAAATCAGTCAAATGTCCATGAAAATGTAGAGTTCTGGTTCTTTTTCCATTTTCGATTATAGACCTTTACGAGTATACGTTGAGTGTAACGTCAACATGATCAGTATAACTTCTTGTTGCATTATTCACTTGAATCGGGAACGATGCTAGTGATCATCAGGCCAGGTGATATGCAGCAGGTGGGGTTGGGTCCAGTTGGCCGTGTTGTTGTTAAGTCCTGTCTCGTTTGTTTCTTTGAGTCGTAGGTTGTTGTAATTCCAGGAACCCCTCCTTTCCTGAGACGCCATCGATCAATACCCTCAACGATAGTTGGGTGGTCAGTGAAGCTGAAATAATCGAGAAAGCAGGTTGAAGTCTTTGATTAGTATCCAAGCGGACATGAGTTGACTTGGATATAGGTAAATTGAATCACTGAAGTGGATTGTCACAACAGAAAGGAAGATCAATTGGAATTGGAAATAAGTGGCTAACGACCCACAGTTTAAGTTAGTCTGACTTCTGGTTTTATTTTGTTTATTGTTTTTTAAAATTTAAAGCGTTCTGCTTCCGTTTTAATTTGGAAAAACCAGGACCATCAGTTCATTTGAAAGTGAAGAGTTAAAAGGGGCTGCGTAGCATGCGCAGGAATTGTATTTGTACGCTCTAAATACTGTTGAAATAGAGATGGGTCTTACTCCATGGTGCGACAGTGAAGATTGATGATGTTCTGAAGCCTCACTAATAACACACAGTGAACGCCGTTGTGCCCACCCAAACGTTCTATAGTTGCTGTATGTTTCTGTTCCTATTTCTCTATGATAAATCACTAATAACACACAGTGAACGCCGTTGTGCCCACCCAAACGTTATATAGTTGCTGTATGTTTCTGTTCCTATTTCTCTATGATAAACGGCAATTTTATGAATAATTTCAACGGGCATAAAACAGCCGTATACACATCAACGAAACAAGAAATTGATGATGGGCCCGAATGAAAGGAAAACAAAATGGATTGCAAGGCAATCTCTTTCACATACATCACACGCGAGGCAACTTGGTTGATGACACCGAAGAATGATTAACGGTATGGGTGTACTTTGTTGATGTTTTGCTCCAGGATTGTGCCAAATGTAGCGTGTTCGCAGTGGGTGTAATGACCTGTTATCGTCACGCAACATACCCAGCCAAATTGTGGAAAGAAAGTTGTTGATATAAACGTAGTTCTTGGCTTATTTCTATACACCAAATATCAACAAAAGTCACCAGTTGGCCAAAAAACGATTTTAGGTAAATGCAGTCCTTAGAATTATTTGGATTAGTTTCTTATAAATCTACCACAGGAATGGAGGATTTCAATTTAGTTAATTTATAAACTGGGAATTGACATATTAAAATCATTAAGAAGTTTTATAAAGAAATATGTTTAATTTTTAAAAATGTTGAATTTATTCGCAAATTCAATACAGTGGAAGTTCATAGATTTTATTTGATAAAGTAAAATGAATTGAATTAATTTTCCTGTTCAGTGTCAATGATTATTAACTGACTGAATTGCGAAAACGCAAGTTAATTTAACTAATTCGCGTTACCATGGTATTGCCAACTCAACACAGCTCGGAGCTCATCATTTTACAGAAGTTACGCGAATTGCTTTTTTTTTAAAAATGCAATATCAAGTCTACTTCTCTAAATTCTTCTTTTGACCTCTTCGTTTTATTTTTAGACCTTACCACTCCAAGACAGTCTAGGCTTTTTATTAGCAAAACAAACGACCTTCTACCGATGTTAGGTCTACATTATTCCATGGGGTCTCGATTTAACATCAGCGAGTCAGCGTCCTTCGCCAAAGTGGCGGGCACCACCATTGGTGACAAGTTAATTTACCCACCACCGTCCTGTCCTTTCTAACGTCATGTAACGTGTCAGTTCATTTTCTATATATCGGTAGGATAAAGTACTTTAGCGGCCTAACGCCAATCAAGGTGTCAAGTGGTAATGCAGCATCTATATATTCCTGCCTTAATTTGGCTTACACTTTTGCATAGTTTGAAAGTACTATTGTTCTTTTACCGGAGGGAGTTTGGTTTAAATGATTGAAGCAATGGTTATATTTTGCGCAATGAGATTGCCCGTTGGAAAAGTATTGGCAGGTGTAGGGATATTACTTTAATCATCAATTGTGTTTGATGGTAATGTCGGTAGGGTGTTACCATTCCACACCCCTATAAGCTCTTTGGCAAAATTTTGGTTTAGTTGCTGGGGGATGCTGGATATTGTATCAGTTGGTAGGAAGAGACACACACTGCAGGTGGTCCTGAGGGTGACTGGTCCAAATTAGACTTGGAAGATTATCTTGAGAAACTTTTGATTAAGATTTCCTGATTCGGTGGAATCTGGACCCAAAACTCCTTCTAGACATTTGTTCCGTCTCTTATGCTTGAGTTCGGCTTCTAAGGAGGGATTCGGGATGAGTTCGACCATCGAGATGGGCTTATTAGCAGCATCTGAAGATGACGATGAGATAGAACAAGGTGAAGAAGGAGTAGAAGTTGTAAGCGGAACCACCAAACCTTCCCCCAAGATGGCTGAGGAAGAAGATGATGATGACGACGATGATGACGACGACGATGACGACGACGAATCTTCAGAGACAGAGACTGATGAGTCGGAAGATGACAAAAGAAAGAAAAAGAAAAAGAAGAAGAGAGACAAGAAGAAAAAGAAAAAGAAGAAGAAAGTGAGTATGTCAAGTACTGTCTTTGGATGAATATTGCTGGAGATTTGTGGAATATCATTCAGAAGTAACCTCTCGAAACCAACGTTATGACGAAACACAAAGAGACTAATCGATTTTTGCAACACTCAATTTATTAATACGAGGGGAAAAACGCTCATATTTTCTATATGATTAATTAGGATACATCTACATATCAAATATAAAAATGTGCCCTTTATAAAGTCGTTAGAATTTGAATCAAAACTTTAGTTGATTTGAAAACGTAGCAGCGTCATAATTGCCAAAGTAATAATGATAATTTATTCATTTTAAGTGCAAATTTCACACATTGTTCAAATGCGCTGTACAATGAAGACGTTAAACATGGTCGAGCGAATCAATGGCGCCTCAGGCAACCTCCAAACGACCCACATCCACCTACAGTTTTAGAGGTGGGAGGAAAACCCCAGAGACGAAATTTCTGGGTAAAACCCACGGCATCAGGTAGGGACTGAAAATCCAATCCACATGTGGACCGAGCCGGGAATCGAACCCGGGCCGCAGAGGTGAAAGGCATGGAAAGAACTACTTCGCCAACCCGACCCCCGAGTACGTGTCAGCTTTACCCTACCTGCATTATTGTAAATTATAACTCGGCGCTACATTCTTCGTCACGGAGGTACATCAGATGATCCGTCACATTGTCAACTTTAGTTCCTCGGTCATCAATCTTGGGTTGATTTCCTGAACAAGCTAAATCCGTCTTTGTTAACTCATAATTTAATAATTTAAGGCCATAGAGGCCCTTGTCTTTAATTACTGACCAAGTTTCACTGTAAAGCGCAACCTCTTCCATGAAGATGTCTAGTGTCACTCATCCGTGATAAATAAAACACTGCTCAATTTATATGAAAAACAAAAACGATTCCAGTAAAGTGAGATTTAGATGAATAAACACGAGTTTGGCTTCCAATGTCTGGAGAGTTTGTAAAACAACCCACCAGATTGGTCCCACAATGTTGAATCATGTCACTTTAGTCAGTATCCGAGTGCGAAGCCTGATGATATTAGCCATGTCCGAAGTTCCTGGCTTTGGCTAGATATAACACAAACACTTATTGAAGTCGCTTGCATCCACTTTCCGCAGACTTATGTATAAATTTCAGCCGAAGTAAAGTAATTCTGACATGGCAATGTTACATGAGCGCTTGTCGCGATTATGGGAAAGGACCAGAGACTCAGAATGAAAGTGACTTTATGTGTATGTTTTAGACAAATGTTGAAAGAATGCATGGATCATAGGTTTATACTTTTTAATGATTATTTGACATAGTGACTTAGACAGGAGACACTTCTTTCCTCCATATTTCTTCTGGCATTGCACAGTGCAGTGCTACATAGGCACCGGTAAAGATTAATTATCAAGGACTTGTCAGTTACTAAAATTAGAGAGATCATGATGATTACATGATGCCTTTGTGGGATGTCTGTCTGGTCGAAACAAAGGTGTGCAGGCGATTTGATCATAAATTTTTGTAATGTGTATTAAAAGGTGAATAATTAATACCAGCATTGCCTTTCCGAAGCCTGACTGATACGTTTATGCTGGGTGTAGCCATTCATCGTCACATTGTTTGTTGTCCGAGAATTTCACTGTCGCTTATCTGCCATCTGTTAAGTACATTGTTCTTCATCCACTGTCTCTGTCCACAAAAAATATACTCGAAGTTGAAAAGGTGAGAGGTTTTCGCGGCTTCAGCCTCTCATTTATTAAATAAATACATTGTAACAGACAAGACCTAACGAACTTTGACGCTGTGTCCAATTACAGCTATTGTAGCGTTGTTATGGTCGGCTTACTTATTTGTACGAGTGTTAGACACTTTAACATTTTGGACACGGCTATAGCTTTGCATGTTTCTAGGTTGTATATGTATGTGGATGTCCTCCACCACATCTCATGTGAAGTGACTTGTTGCACTGGCACCTACCATTTTGTATTAGATTCAAGGGGCCTTCCTGAAGATCCACTCTTTTGTCAGACCACGGAATTATGACCCCCCCCTTTTTGATTTCACGTCACTGCACCGTGTTTGTCGGTTAATATAACCTGATCACGAACCCAACACCACCTGCACTATAATTGGAGTAAGACACCTCTGGTTTTTAATTTTTAAATTGTGTTTGACACCACGAAAGGGTTCGTTGGATGCGACTTTAAAGGTCAACTGCAGCAGAGGTGTGTCTTGTAGTTGGAGAAGCATCCCTCAATTACCTGAGAACTGTCCCCTGGGCATTCAGGTTGTAGTATTCAAACTACAGGGAATGGATGCCGGTCAGTGGTTGGGTTCCCATCATGTATCATTGATGTCAATCCCGTGACTCGCCTTTTTACTCCGCTGACCAATTCTCCCTCCTCAAAGGAGAAAAGCAAAGGTTAACAAGTCACACGTTTGTGCGCATTCCGATGAAAATTGATGGCACTACGTGCGTACTTGATCCCAGCCATACGTGTAAACCAGTACGCTGTGTATTGGCACGCACTGGAACAAAGTTGGTCAAGGACCATTTTCGACTAATGTTAGGATTCATATCTTATCTTAGTAATGTGCGAACACCTCTTGTCGAACTTTGGCCTAAGTCACGTGGTAGCACATAACTCAGGCTCAATACAGAGCGTCTGTGTTTATATCCAGCGGTGAACTAACCTCGGATGGCTGGTTTTGACTGATTGATTAGACTAATCCATCTACTGCAACTAAGGAGAGTTTGAGGGAATAAGTTGAACTGTGGGTGACCATAGTTCTTGATAGAACTTGAAATACGGCCGATTCACAATACGGTGCCTCCAAGAGTTTGCAACGTGTTGACCAATCACAAGTCGCGAAATCTGTCGTCCCTTTCCAACCGCGCACTGGGTCGACAGATTTCGTGCACACTGATTGGTCATCGCGTTGCAAACCCTTGGAGGCGCACTATTGTGAAACACTCGTATTGGCGGTGTTGAATGTATAAAGGGGGCGCTCTGTAATCCCATTCCCGACGGAGTCGTTACCACGAACGTCATATAAAAAAGTCTTGACTCGACACGCTATTGCATCGACTGAAGCCACCAGCGGCCATCTTAAGGTGCCGAATATAACCGTAATCGTTACTCGCGTGCTTTTGTAAACTGTTATAGCCACAAACGATTCGGTGAACGATAACGAGCAAGCCTTTGTATTACCTTTGCATTAGGAACGGTAAGATGGCCGTCGGTAACTTCAATGACGTGTAGGCTGACATTGGAAACATTACATGTAGCACTTTAATGACTAAGGTAAACTTTGCTTAAGCCTTTGTAGCAACAACTACTTTATCGAATGAGTAAATTGTGAATCCAAACTTTTATAAGACGTCCGTGGTCGTTATCTACTCCTGTGACATTGCAAGGCATTCGCTATTTTCATTTCCACGTAGAACCTACGTGCCTGCACATGCTCTTCTGACAATTCACTGAACACTTGATTTGAACGCACCAGATGGTGGACTTTACTCTTCCATGTCTTTACTGGTAGAGAGAGATCTCTCGCATTACAGTAGACCATGGAATCATTTTATATTCCAAACATGCTCTTGCAGTCTCAAAACCTTCAGATCCTTGTGCAAGGCACATGATTTGCCTTCGTTGACAATTTTCATCAGTTCCTTTATAGAACCACTTCATAAAATGAACGTGAAATTATTCAGACATAGGAGGGAGTTTTGTGACTCTCAATTAGACTGTATTTATTAGAGATGATTTAATAAATTTCCTGTCAGAGGAGTCACACGCGCTCCCTTTAATTGTCAAGAGCAGTTTTACACGTGGTCATCCACCCTATGGGATTTCAGCCCATATTGAATGCCATACTGTTCATTACGCTTCATTGGTCATGCATATATTCTACCGCGTTTACCTGGCATAAACGCCAAATATCGGAATCAGTTGGAAGCCAGTAACAGGAGTGGGTGCTTGAAAACTTGTCAAGGATTCCCTGGAAATTTACGTCATCGTAGAATCATCTTAGAAAGATTAATTCTTTAAAAAAAGAAATTGTAGTAATTATAAGAGAACCTGTGTATTTCAGGTTCATATCAACTTATCTTGCATTAAGTGGTGCTACTATTCAGCAAGCCAACAAGGATCTCGAGAGGTGAGTTTGATATTTAACGCTGACGAAATCGGAACAACTTTCACAGATGTTGGTGATTTCTTTTAAAAAACCCTTTTAGAAAAGTATAAGACTAAACGGGGTATTGGACTAAAGCTTTAGTTTCATTGAAACGTTATATTCTTGCCAATGATAAACAAGTCCTATATGATTTGATGTTAACATTCGTTGAACGATTATCACTGGCCGAGATTTCAGTCGTCAAAATAATGACGCGTCCAGAATACGCGAAATTACGGCCAATAATTCTGTGTGAAATGTGCCTCCGCTGAGAGACAATTTGTCCTATGCACACTGAACTGGTTGCCTTCTAAACTTGATTGTTATGGTGTATATTGCTGTAGTTGTTTTCAAGGCGTTGCAGAGGGTCTACTGCACTGAAATTGGCTTTAGTACTGGTACACTGCTGTAGTTTCGAGAACGGTATTTTCGAAAACGTCTCGGAATTTTCGGCCAGTTTCACCGACATTACTGTTTTTGGATAGTAGGATTTTACCCAGTTAGAATCATAGTATTTCAAGATGTGACGAGTTCTTCGGCCTTTGTGTCCATCTTTCCCCTACCATTGTGTTGTGTGGTGCATTATGATTTGCCTGAGGTATTACATTGTTAGATGATACATTGATAGGGTAGAGGGAAGGAGATCGTGTCGGTGAGTCCGTGTCCAGAACTACATCAAGCTTAATCTCACCCTTGGCAATGTTGGGTTCATGCAGTTGGAACGTGTACCTTTTTATTATCCTAGCCAATGCATCAATGGAATCGAAAGTCCTTGCGATACGTGAAAACTTTCAGAGATGTTGACAACGGAAATATGTTTTGCCTTGA